ATCACATGTGCATTGTTAGAAAGCTGTGAGCTCAACCCCCAAGTTGGGTTTTCATTTCTTGGGCTCGACATTCCAGTGTCGTGCAGGGAAAGCAATGTATTGTCATAGGTGCTGTCCACCAGATGAGATGTTAAACAGGGGTCTCATTTGCATGTTCATGTAGACTTTATAAATCCCATTAAATTATTCAAAAAAAGAAAGGAGTGCCCTTAAATCACTTTATTCATTCACCCCCACCCCTCTCCCCCTACTCCCATGTTTCTACATTTCGAATACATTTCCAACTGTTCAATCTATTATTTATCACTGGATCACGCCAGATTCACAACTAATTGCTGTCTCCATTAGTAACACTACAGGCAGATTCTGACCCATCCTTTCAGCCAGTTACCCATAGAGATTGACCTGTGGCACTGACGCACACAGGTCAGAAGAGTCCATGCTTAGTCACGGATCTCTACTGAGTTGTGCAATCTAGAAACATTTTTTTAGAACAGAAGCACATCGAGTCTTGCCACTGTTACCTGTGTTCTTAATGAGGATCTGATAATTGAGCTGAGCATGCGCAGGCCTGGGAGAGGAAAGCTGGTCAAAGATATATTGTTATATAGTTATTCCAGGCAATATGTCTGTTCATAAATGCTGAGTAAAGATAAATTTGAACTTTGCTGATATTGGCCTCTATGGCTGAATATCCCACTGACCTTCATTGTCCAGCTCACACTTAAAGTATAAGCATTTTGATGAAGTGCTGGAAGGGTTGTGATTGACATGAACTCACACCCCAGCATGAATTATTGTCAAAAGGAAGAATGAAGAACTTAAATCAAGAACAAAATAATTACATCATTTATAAGCTTCATTTAAGGTTTCACTCACATGGTTTATGGCTGATCAGAAGTCACCACCTTCATTATTGCATTCTGACATTTACACGTTCATTCTTAAAAAAAATGATTTATGATTCTTTATGACTCCTACTGGGGGGTTGCGGGAGTAAGCCAGGTCTCCTTGGAGCTCCAAGGTGACATACTTGGCAACGGAATATTGGAATCGAGTCAACCCTTTGTGGTGGTCTCGGATACCCAATTCCTGAGCCTGGCACGTTCACAAAACTCCGGAGCACTGCTGATAGCAGACCAGCCGACCAGGCTCATCAGCAGGATTTGGAGGAGCAGACTGGTCACTGGGAGCAGGGATATTTCCCCTTCGGCTCATCTCTGCCCTCCCTGGCCGCTCCTCTCCCACCCCTCCCCCCCCCACCCCCCACACACTCGGGCACTGATCCCCGACTGTTCAGTACCTTGGGACACCCTCCCGATGTGAAAGGCACTTTACAAATGTAATTTTGTTGTTGTTGTTGTTGAATCAATCCTGCAAGGCAAAGCTCTAACAAGTAGGGTGATCCTAGCTGGACAAGCAGCAGGTAGTTTGCCAGACAGTGCTTTCGATAGCAAGCTATGTGGTTTTAGTTGGTTAAATTCCAGCAGAACCCCAACACATACTCTGGGATGCCCCCACATTGGCTCTTGCCAACGTGTGCCAAATACTCTCCAGATTTAGATAAGGAAGGTGTGTCAGAGACAGAGATAGATTAAAGGGAGTGTGTGTTTTCCATTCCAGGCACAGGATTTTTTATGTGCAGGTGACATGGATAGATCTCTGTCTGGTTTGGATGCTCTTAAGCACGGTGATGGGTTTTGGCATGTGTTATACACCCGGCTGACCCCCCAAAAAAGAGTATTTTCAATATCACTTAATATTTACAACAACAACAACAAAATTACATTTACATAGCGCCATTCACACCGGGTGGATGTCCCAAGGCACTGGACAGTCAGAGTTTCGGATCCAAGTTGGGGGTCGGGATCGGGGACAATGGAGGGCAGGGTGGGGAAGCATGGTAATCGAAAGCACAAGAGGAGGGTCTTGAGATGGGTCTTGAAGGAGGCAAGGGAGAGGACGAGGCAGAGGGATTGCAGGATGGAGTTCCAGAGGTTGGGGGCAGAGTGGCAGAAGGCCTGTCCGCCAATAGTGGGGCGAGCGAGGCGGGGGACGTGAAGCAGGCCAGAACCTGCTGAGTGGAGGGAACGAGCAGGATGGTAGGGGATTAGAAGTTCGCAGAGGAAGGTAAGACCATGGAGGGCTTTGAAGGTGAGGACCAGGATCTTGAACTGTATCATCTGTGTGATGGGAAGCCAGTGGAGTCGGGCGAGGATGGGGGTGATAGGGTCATGGAGCGTGGTGCAGGAGAGGACATGGGCTGCAGAGTTCTGGATGATCTGCAGCCTATGGAGGGAGGAGTTGGGGAAGCCGACAAGCAAGAAGTTTGCATAGTCAAGCCTCGATGTAATAAGAACATGTATGAAGGTTTCGGCGGCCTGTAGTGTGAGACAATGGTGCAACCAGGCGATGTTGCGGAGGTGGGGGAAGGCAGAGCAAGGGGTAGGAAGGATAGTTGAGGGTCAAACAAGAGGCCAAGGTTCCGGACTGGCTTAGTAAGGTGGAGTGTGCATCCGTGGGTGGTGATGCTGTCAGCACCTGAGGTGTGGAGGCACTGATGGGAACCAATCACGAGAGCCTCGGTCTTGTTGACGTTCAACTAAAGAAAATTAGCTCTCATCCAGGACTTTATGTACGACAGACATTCTGTCAGGACAGCAGTGGTCCTGGAGTTAAGGGTGAAGGCAGAGAGGTACAGTTGGGTGTCAGCTGCATACATACATGTGGAAGTTGAACCCATGTCTGCGGATGATGTCAACAAGAGGGAGCATATAGATATTGAAGAGCATATAAATATTGAAGATATTTAACCACGTTTATACCTAATGTAGTAACAAATCAATGGATAATTCAACTAAATTGCAAACATGTATAGAGACCCCATGCTCATCTGGAATGCCTTCCTGACCAGTTATTTTATACAATCCAGGATATAAAATAAGCCTTTTTTTTTCTTGGTTTCCTTGTGAAAGTCAATTGGTGCAGCAGCGTTGAGAAGACTGGTGGTTATTCAAACAAATGGATGTGTTGTGGTGCAAGCAAAAGAGTAAGTTTGTGTTCATATCAAGAACGAATATTGCAGAAAAATGGTTGCTGAACTGTGGCAATATTAGATCTGGGTCCAAATATAGATTCCTAATACTGCCTTTCAACCACCAAAGGGTGTTAGGTTTAGTTTCACGCTTTCCACTCACTGTAAGAATATTTTAGGAGTTTTTTTTTAACTTCTTAAACGCTGAGGATCAGTTACTGCCGAACCCTGTGAATTGTCACACACACAAAGATGATTTCCTTCATTAACTGAGAGTGCAATAGTGTTTCAGGAACCAATTGCCTTCCGATACTTGTCGGGTCATTTGGTGAAATCGTACGTGTGAATTCCGATTCAATTATCGAACCGACAAATTGTGTGTTCTTCAGAAATTTGGGGAGATAGAAAAAAAAAGCTATTCGATGATATTCTTTGAAGTGACAGAAGGGTAGACCCAAGTCTGCGCTTCCTCTCCAACGAGCATCAGACACAGCAAAGGCTTCGGAAATACTGTAGTAAATCTACACTGACTTGTCTGTCGTCCACCTGTTGAGCACAATTCTCATTTGAACGCGAAACCACGGGGCAGAGAGCTATTTCGCGTGATTATTCTTGCGAAATGTAACTTTTTTTTCCCCCCCCAAAAAACCAAAGTGCAATGAAAGGCTGAACCTGTTGCATCGCTGCTACGTGTTCGGATTGGTAACGCGGACAAGTGGCGCTCGTTCTCCGTTGCATTATTCTGATAATGTAATGTAATGATATAATATAATAATACAATACTCTGAAACGAGAATATGGCTTTGTTTCGTTATTCCAGTTACAACGCGACTGGGTCTGCGATCAGTCCATCCAGAGCATCGATCCAGATCTCTCTCTATATATATGTATATATATGTGTGTGTATATATATATATATACATATATACATTTCTTCTGTGTATTGACAGCTGTGGAATGTCCAGAACCCAAAGATTCACCGTCTTGTTAATAACACGACAACTAAACGCGATCCCACTTTTCTATCTGTACCATTACCATTATCATTATCATTATCTGTATCATTACGATGACGAATGATGACTATAACCTATACCCAGAAATACGCACCGTTCTGTGCGAGAGAACCATTCTGAAAAGTGACGGGAGGTTTCCCCAATGCCGAAACGCTTGAAAGGCATCCGGAGCCCAAACCCCACACATCTCTTTTTTTTTGTTCGCGAGCAGTTGCGAACGGCGACCCAGAAGGACGGGGCGCAGTATCCGCACAGCTAGAGGGCGGTCAGGCACCGGGAAAACGCGGGTGCGAACGTGCGTAAACTGGCACAACCCAACAGGTTGCTGCTGCGTGGCCGAGGCTGTGCGTCCTGTGCTGTGCTGTGCTGTATTGTGCTGTGCTGTGCTGTGCTGTACTGCGCTGTGCTGTGCTGTGCTGTACTGTGTGTGCGTGTGTACTGTGCTGTACATCTCGCTTTCAGCCCCGATATCGCCACGACTCCCAGGTCTGTGCGCTGATCCCGTGAGCGAACGAACGCAATCGTCTTCGGCGACCTGCGGAACCGATGTGTAAAACAGCACACAGTGTGTGTGTGTGTGTTTAATATATATATATATATATTTATACATACATATATATATATATAAAAATAACATAGCACGTGTGTTAATTCAGCATTACTGGCTGTGCTGTGCTGTGCTGTGCTGTGCTGTGAGAGTCAGGGTGTTGCCTGTTGCCTGTACAGCAGAGGACTCGTTTACGCACTTTCTTGGAGGATATATACACACACACACACACACACACACATACACACACACATATATATATATATATAAAAGCAATCACTTTTATCAAAGGTCGTTTGCAACATCTTCCCCGACCCCTCCCTCCCCCCCCCCCCCCCCCACACACACACACACACACACACGTCGAGGGAGGAGGGATGGGGGGGGGGGGGGCGAAGGGGAAGGTGACTGATCGATATTAAGCACTGTCACTCGGTTCGCCTCCCACCCGCCGCTCTCGCCGCCTGGAATGCCGCGAATGGGAAGGGCGCGGAGGGGGGAACAGCCGTCGAGGCTCTCGGCTCGGCGGAGAACCAGCACCTCGTCGGGCGCCTCCGGTCCCCCCGTTCCGAGCCATGTCTGAGCCGGAGCGATGGGTAAGATCGACGACAACGACCGGATAGTTCTCAACGTGGGGGGGACCAGGCACGAAACTTACAAACTGACGCTGAAGACCCTGCCCGGGACCAGGCTCGCGCTGCTCGCCGAGTCGGACGGGCAAAGCCTCGCCGACTACGATGACCCCGACCCCGGGAGCCGCCAGTATTTCTTCGACCGCCACCCGGGAGTCTTCGCCTATGTGCTCAACTACTACCGCACGGGCAAACTGCACTGCCCGGCCGACGTGTGCGGGCCCCTCTTCGAGGAGGAGTTGGCCTTCTGGGGCATCGACGAGACCGATGTGGAGCCGTGCTGCTGGATGACCTACAGGCAGCACCGCGACGCCGAGGAGGCGCTCGATATCTTTGAGTCGCCCGACCCCAACGGGGAGACCGGGGACGACGACGACGACGACCATCACCATCACCACCAGCACCACCACCACCACCACCGCGGGGACCTCGGCAAGCGGTTGGGCATCGAGGACTGCAGCCCCGACCGCTCCGCCAAAGCCCGGCGCTGGAGGAGATTGCAGCCCAGAATGTGGGCGCTCTTCGAGGACCCGTACTCTTCCAGAGCCGCTCGGGTAAGAGAGAGGGGAGTGAGAGAGAGAGAGAGAGAGAGAGAGTGAGTGTGACTGAGAGAGAGTGAGAGTGAGTGAGAGAGAGAGTGAGAGTGAGTGAGAGAGAGTGAGTGAGAGACAGAGTGAGTGAGTGAGTAAGTGAGAGAGAGTGAGTGAGTGAGTGAGTGAGAGTGAGTGAGTGAGTGAGTGAGTGAGAGAGTGAGTGAGAGAGTGAGTGAGTGAGTGAGTGAGTGAGAAAGTGAGAGTGAGTGAGTGAGTGAGTGAGTGAGAAAGTGAGAGTGAGTGAGAGAGAGAGTGAGTGAGTGAGTGAGTGAGAGTGAGTGAGAGAGTGAGAGTGAGTGAGAGAGGGTTCAATAAAAAGGCACACGTTTCACTGGAGCCTTTCATTGAGTCGCCGCCTTGTGAAACGGTCCAAAGGCTTTATTCAAAGTGGGGGGAAAGGTAACCTTTGAGCAAAGGGGAGCGACCGTACCCGAGACGGTGCTCAGCGAATGGAGAGTCAACCCGAGAGATTTCGTGCACTTTCTCAGCAAAACGCAACGCAACACAACACAACAACACAGCACCGGGGCTGAGAGTGCACTTGTTGACGCCGCTAAATCTTTCAACTGCGGTCCAGTCGGGTTGTTGTGCGTGACCTTGTGGTACCCGGTCGGATGGTTTAGTGTGAGAATTGTTTCAGTGTAGAGATATACAGATATATATATATATATATATATTTATATATATATATAATCACGTTACGTTTCATTATTGATTACCACTGTGCACTAATACAATATCATGACCACTTTTATGGGGGAGTTAAATAAAGGACTTCTGCAAACAGCGTGGAAGCAAACTTGAAAGGCAATACACGGCACACAGCAAGGCAGGGCCGTCCAAATGAGCTTCTGTCTTCATGTTGGATTCATTTTAATCTGCACATCATAAGATGTTGGGGGTAGAGGTGTGTGTAGGTGTGTGTGTGTGTGTGTGGGGGGGGGGGGGGGATCAATGAAGGGATCAGTTTTCCTGCCATCTCTGTCTCTGTCCCTCTCTAACGTGTAAGTGATGAGACCTGAGACCCCCCCCACCCCACTGTTTTCAGCACAGATAATAAGACGATCATAATATCCACACGTGGTGCAAGAACAAGGCGAGTGATTGATGCTCAAGGAGAAATGTGTTTGAGAACACACTGTGGTTGTTACAATGCCCCGAACTCCCGTCAGTTACCCACTGTGGTATCTCAACCCAAAAGGGGGTCCTGGCATTCAGATTGGGAACGGTGTGGTGGGTTCATATAGTGTGTTAGAAAATGGTGTGAAAACGAAGCGTTAGTTGATTATAACTGGAGGTGCGTCTTTCTCACATATATATTGGATTTTTTCGTGAAATGGTTCCAGAGAGGACCATTTTTGCTTCGGGTTTAGAAAACACCCAATATATGTAATAAAGCATCATCATAACTGGTCAACACACAGTCTGGGAGTGTGTGTGTGTGTGGGGGTGGGGGTGGGGGGGTGGGGGGGAGTTTTTAAAGTAACTGTTGCTGGAATTACATAGAATAGGATTTTAAAAAAGGTACAGTTAGTTTGAATTAAATATAAGAATCGCAAATGAATGGAAATGCACAGATGGATGACATGTACGATGATCTGTGCCACTGAGAGATGTTTCAGTCTCAGAGCTTCACTGTAAGTGATGGCTGTGGTCTGTTTGCCTTTGGCGTTCGCTACACCAGAACACCTTGTAAAGTCTTACCTTCTCCCAGTCAACAAGTCGATGGCGCAAACACATTTTATTGTGTTGCGGGGTTTTAAAAAAAAGCCGCATCGTCTCCGCTTGGAATATGCAAAATGTTTCTTTTCAAAGCGAAATACAGGTTGAAGTCAGCCTCCACTATCTTTTTTGCAGTCGGATATACTGTTGGAAGAGATTTGACTGAAAAACGTTGATGCTGCATGAGTTAGGAAGTATCACCTGCGTATATTTTGTATGTAAGGAATATGCTTGTGAGAGATTCAACAGCTGCTTACTGATCTATAGATAGGTACCTCATTTTTTTATACTTCATGTGTATCTTTTTTTGCAATAGGATGATTCAAATAGTTTTCAAACAATGATTTCAGTGGTAAAGTCGAGACTGGATGGTTGACCTAGTAGTCAACTGGCATGTTTTAGTCAAAAGGACCATCTATGAAGCAGTTTTTTAAACTTCTTTTTTTAATCTGTCAGGCACCTGCACAGTTTGGCTTGAATGTTGTGGAAAAATAGTGCAGTAAACTGAATTTGGGATCCCGTTAGAGGTCTATATATATTATATATATATTAAAAATCCAGCCAAATGCAAGGATTGTTTACATCTAAATCTATGTATGTGTATTGCAGTTTGTATTTTTGCATTATATATACATTAAATGAGATGTGATACAATAATGTCTGCATTTTTAATGATGTTATGTGAACTATTGCAGTAAATTGAATTTGGAGACATCTAAACTGAAGTTTGGCCATTTGGTGTGAGTGTGTGTGTGTGTGTGTGAGAGAGAGAGAGAGAGAGAGTTGATGGAGATTAGTTAAATACATTCAGGTTTTTCCTGGTGAGGTTGTGCGAAGATTGCGAGTGGCGGCCAGGACTCAGTGGCATTGAGTTGTCTTGTAACACGCGCTTTTCTCGCTCTTTGCCCGCATGGCTGCTGTTTCCAATTGCCATGGCGACAGGAATCTCATGCTTCTTCATTTGCACTGAAATCCTGTCTCCCAGGCACTGATTGCTGTGTGGCTCTCAGCAAGCGGAGCGCTGCTGCTGGGCAATGGAAAAGCTTCAGAGGGAATTCAGTCCAAACACCATTTTAGGAGTTGCTTTTAAACTGTTTATTCTGTGGAAAGCTCCTTTCTGTCCACGAATGCTGTCTGCTTCCCATCAAAGGTGCTTTATATCCTTTATTTACAGTAGCTCAGCAATTAGTTTCATAGAGCAAATCCCCAGATCAACCTGCCATGCATTCTGCCCTGGTTAAACCCTTTTGGTGCCTCATATGAAATATAATAGAAGTTTTAAAATGAAGGATTATACTCTCCTTTTTTCCCTCCCCACTCATTTCGCCACTCATGGATTATTTACAGGTCATAAGGAACCCAGTCAGTCCATTCGCCCACAAAATATACAGTCAATTCATTTGACAGTATAGTCTGTGAAGCGCTTTGAGGCATCTCGAAGATGTAATATGGCGCTATATCAAATGCAAGGATTATTATTATTATTTCTGCGCTGACCTTATCGAGTGCCAACTTCAGTCCGCACTGAAGTTGGCACAAAATCTCAAATGGTTGAAAGATCACAAAATCTCGAATGTAAACAGATTCTGTCTTAACACTTGGCAAACTGCTGCAGTAAGTGAACATCTTGACAATTATGTACGTCCTTGTTTCAGACTGATTCAAGTCTATTCCTGCAGCATAGTTCACAACAACTAGTGAGTCAGGCAAATGAAATAGCAGAGATGTAGCTTCCAGCCTACAGAGGCACATTTAGACTGCTGCCAACTGGTATACTCACAGTTTCTGTAAATGAAACAGGAAGACAAAAGTTGACGGGCATTCAAAAAATATATATGTAGGGGCAGCACAGATAGGAGGAAAAAGGAAAGAATCGTTCAACAAAAATATCACTTTCTATTCATATTTGTGCTCCAGCTTGATTTATGTTCCCTGGATTTGGTCTCCGGTTTGGGTTGTAATGTTAGGAGTTCATTTTATGTTTTAAACACAAAGCTTCTACTAAATGCCTGAATAGCCATTCACTGACAAAATAGATTTGACATTGGAGCATGACTTTCTAAATATGTCCTCAGCATTTGAGTAAGTGTGTTTTGTAGTTTAAAGAAAAGTTGCAGTTTTATTTTTAATGACATCATTGGTGGAAGTGTGATCACAAGTCTTATGATAAAATTTAGGCAACAAGTCATTGTATTGAAAGATGCTAGAGGTTGTTCTGCTTCTGCTTCGTGCACAAACCATTGCTGTGGGCTCGTTGCTCCATTCAGTATGCTTTGTACATTTGTCTCGATACAGATATACTTATTAAACGGAGCAAATAGCACTTGACCACAGCAACTCGATGGAATGCCCAGAGCAGAATAAAATAAAATGTGCATTTTGATATAGTGTCTTATCCTGCTTTGCGACGTCTCAAAGTGCTTCGCAGAATATACTGTAAAGTGAATTGACTGTATATTTTATGGGCGAAACATGGCAGCCAAAGATTAATTCCCCCACCCAACGTGTTTATTTCATAACACTGAGGTGCATCAAAATGCGTTACATGTTCCTATGTGAAAATTAGTTGGAGTCTCTTTCTAAGCATTTGTGACTTGACAGATCTGAATTTAGGCCTTTGCACCTGCAGCATTTTATTAACGAATTCTAAACAATTAAAGCACAGTCAAAGTGCTTTCTGTGAATGACAGCACAGCAAAGCTTTGCTTGAATAGTCTTTCTTAACTGGGCACTAGATAAAGCATTAAATGGTAAATTTTATTTTTAAAAACAATGAGCAAGAGTAATTTTCTTTTCAAATGAATAAAGTAATATAAACGTACACTACTATAAAGGAAAAGTACAAAAGTATGCAGAATCAGAAGTTTAACCTTAATCCTTGCATTTGGTATAGCGTTTTTCACGTCTTCTCAACATCTCAAAGCACTTCACAGAATATGTTGTAAAGTGAGTTGACCGTATATTTGTGGGCGAAACGCGGCAGCCAATTGCACACAGCAGTGTCCCACAAACAGTCGTGGATTGAAAATGACCAATTTATTATTGTTTTTTTTGAGGGATTATTATTAGGCATGTGGAGTAAGGAAACTTGCCCAAGGTTTCGCTCTGCGTGGAATTAAACCCAGGTGTCTCGCTTGCAAGGCGAGTGCTCTAACCACTGAGCTACAGGACTCCACAACCTTGCTCATTTGGTCCCACTCTCACCTCTGAACTAGGATTTTGTGGGTTCAAGTCCCATG